CAAGCAGAAATCTTCGCTATTCTACAATGCGCGACAAAAAAAGAACAGGAAAGCTTACTCAGGTAAGCTCATCAATATATGCTCAGACTCTCAGGCAGCACTTTAGGCGGTTATTACCTCAAATGTATCGTCGAGACTCGTCTGAAAATGTTAAATTTTAATTAAATTATTCTGGGTGCCGGGCCACAGCGATATCCAAGGTAACGAAAAAAAAACGCAGACACACTAGCCAAGCAAGGATCATCGTAATATTATCTTGGTCCAGAGCCAATACTGGGAATACCCAAATGCATAACACGTATTGCAGTCAAACTCTGGATCAGAGAAAATCAGTTCGTCCGCTGCAGAAACAGACAGGGCCACAGACTAGCAAGGTCTTCATCCAAGGAATCCCTCTAAAATCATAGAGGAACTACCAATGACCAGCAGGAATAAAGTGCGGATTACAACAGGTTCTTTGAGAGGATATATAGCTGTCAAGTGCAACCTGGACAAGGTCAACCTGTATCAAGGAAGTTTTACTACAGACTTTGCGATAAAGATCCTGAAACAGCAGAGCACATAATATTCCACTAATACGCAAATCTGCATAAGCTGGTGCAGAACATAGGAATACTACACTACCACTGCCATTACTCGCTGACGAGTATTTGACACGCATCTGATGATGGTTACGCAAGGCGTTTTCTTCATGAGCGTCTGCTTTTCTGTGACTGAAAAGCCCGATACTTGATGTTATCTCTCTTCCGCACTCCGGACATTCAAAAATCTTATTGTTTTGATTTCTTGTCCAACATTCTCTTTACTTATGTAAAATGAAAACAGTACTGGAAGCTGCTGTTCTTGGATATATAAATGGAGTGGGGAAATAAGATGCTATTTTACATATTTTAAATAATAGAGTAGACGCTATTGAATATCGGCCTGAGTTTTACGGACATTTAAATCTACAGGATGGTCCGAAAGGGAAACTTTGGCAACATATTCTGTAGATAAAAATAGGTAAAAAAGTTCGTATTATATCCTAAAATGCTTAGTTTCGGGAATACAGGGTGTAGAAGTTTCATTTTTATTTCAATTTTTTTCAAATCATTTATGAAGTAACGCCAATATTTGAAATAAAATTGGTGTCTGGGGGTTTTTTGACATGATAAATTTGATTTTGATGTCAATATGACTCCTACTTGTAGAGGGCGCCACCAACATACTTTTAACTGGTTTGAAGAGTAATAAGTTTTCGTACATATCTGTATAAAACTATTGAGTAAAAGAATATACATTTACGGCGGTTTTTACGTAAAAAAGATCTCTTGGTAAAAATCGCTAATAGTAATGGTTCTCGAGATATTTGGAATCGAAATTATCAATACCCATTGTCATCATTGACTTAAATTGCTGACTTTGTGTATGTATTAAACATGTTGACTAAATAGTTATTAGACTGAAATCATAAATTTGAGATGTTTTTGTGCAAAAAGTTCTTTATCATCATTTTTTCGCAGAAAAATGATGAGATGATTAATTTAAAAAAATACAAATTTTCCAAGTTTATTTTTTCAGTCAAATAACTATCTATTCAACATGTTTATGTTTCGTACCCATTCTAAATATCTTGAGAGCGGTTGCTCGTAGCGATTTTTACCGAGAGACATTTTTTTACGTAAAATGTCACGGAAATGTATATTTTTTCATTCAGTAGTTTTATACAGGTACGGACGAAAAGTTATTACTCTTGAAAACAGTTAAAACACATGTAGGTGGCGCCCCCTACAAATAGGAGCATTATACAGCATATTGACATCAAAATCAAATTTCTCATGTCAAAAATCTCCCAGATACCAATTTTAATCCAAATATTAACATTATTTCAGCAATTATTTGAAAAAAATTGAAATAAAAATGAAACTTCTACACCCTGTATCTCCGAAACTAAGCATTTTAGGACATACATTTATACGAACATTTTTACATATTTTTATCTGCAAAATCTGCTGCCAAAGTTTCCGGAATACAGTTCGGACCACCTTGTATATAATATGCATGGGTGATCCATGAGTAAGATGCTTTACTTGAATTTTAGATGTACCAAAAAAAGAAGACTAGATTACTAGACCAAACTAGACTAGCAATGCCTTAAACATACATCAAAATAAATTATGTTAAAAAAACGGCGTCCAGTTGGCTTGTAAATGAACATCGAATACATTCCCCGTATAATTTTATATATAAAATGACAGCGATTTTCATTTCATAGCCATTGCTGACGCAGTTTTTTTCGATCATACGGTACCTAGGGTATAGGAGAACATAATCAACTTTGCACAAAAACCGGTACAGAATTTTATACAGGTTTTTATTTTCATCGTATCGTGAATCCATTTTTCTGTACCGATTGAAACCGGTCTTCCGGTATCGATTGAAACCGGTCTTTCGAGGCCGATTTAAACCGGTCTTTCGGTACCGGTATCAAAACCGGTATACCGGTCTTATAAAACACGATATCGATACCGGAATATTTCAAATGTACCGGTCTTGGTACCGGTATACCAGAAGACCAAACGTGCCTACCTCGAAGAATTTACGATAGTCGTGATGTTCGAGGAAAGGCGTTTTGAGGAAAGAACAAAATATACGATATTAACCGAAGAAAGTGGACTTGCTTCCTCTCGTCTCGGACCTCGGTGGCGAATGGTACTTGCTTTCAACCCACCCATTATTACCCAGATATCTCCCCGTTTCTCTTCTTACAACAACAAACGGTACTTCTCACCATCCGCCAAGCTAAAACTCATCCGATCGGCTCCCGTTCAAGTTCAAGATCGAGTCTCGCTTTCTTCCGCGCCAAACTGGTGGTACCGTTTGTCATTGGACTTGTCCTTGGTACCGCTCTGACGCCGATCGCGAATCGAGTGCCGTTTCCAGCAACCTTGGTACTGCGTTTTGACGGTGGTTTTCGATTCGATATTGTTGTGCCATCATGATTCATATCGATTTTGTTAAGGGTGGTCCTGTCTATGGACCTCTCGACAGTACTGTAAGTAAAAAATGTATATTTTTAGGAAAATATTAAGTTTCTCTGTTAAAATTAAATTATATAGGGTGTTTCAAAAAACATGTGCCATCTCTCGTGGAGGTATTCCTCACGTAAAAATAAGATTTATTTTACATATCAACATGGGTCCGATTCTGCTTTCTTTCGTAGTTACAGGGTGTAAAACTCTTAATAATCTTTCGATTTATTATAATTTTCTTCTAAGTACTTTTAGTGATTCGAATGAAATTTTGAGGGTAAAAGTTGCTATAAGTGCTACATAATTTAACGCTAAAAAAGTGTCGACATATTCATCAGGGACGTGCATATGGGTTATCACTGGAATATTTTTCAAAAAAAACATGTGCGCCACTGACTTTTTTTCTTTTGATATAAAAATTGTATAGGCCGTTTAATGCCAATTAAAGTTATCTCTTGATATTTTGTCGAATTCAGCCTCCTTGATGAGATCACAATTTAATAAAATCAATCACAATTCATAAAATTAATAAATTACATATTTTACCTAATTTATTATTAAATTTTACCTCATTTATTATTACTAGTAGTTATTATTACTATTAATTCAACCTAGAGCAATTTCAAATAAAAAATAATGTTATTTAAGATAATTACAAAAAAAACTAATTTTAAAACTATGCATTTCCATACTCATGTTTATAGAAACTTTTTTTCATATTTTAGTACTTATTTGAAATTTTTGCAAGTAAATGATATTAACATTTTTTAAAGGTTGGTATCAGACTTGGATCAAGACAAATTAATAAAAATACGTTTATCTCATCAAGGAGGCCGAAATCGACAAAATATCAAGAGATAACTTTTAATCGGCATTAAACTGCTTACACTATTTCGAAAACAAGAAAAAAAAATCAGTGGCGTACATGCTTTTTTGAGAAAAATATTCCAGTGATAACCCACATGCACGCCCCCGACGAAAATGTTGACACTTTTTTAGCATTAAAATATGTCGCATTTATAGTAACTTTTACTCTTAAAATTTAATTTGAAACGCTAAAAGTACTTGGAAGAAAATTATAATAAATCGAAAAAATATTAAGACTTTAACACCCTGTAGTTACGAAACGAAGCAGAATAATTGGACCTATGTTGATATGAAAAAAATCTTATTTTTACGTGAGGAATCTCCCCACAAGAGATGGCACATGTTTTCGAAACACCCTGTATAAAATTTCTAAAGTTCTGAAGGAATTTGCCCACCTTCCTTCAGAACTCACAAGACTTTTTAAGAAAAAACTTATCCACTATTTTTAGTACTCGTACATATCGTCGTCTTCTACACTTTTAACATGATCTAACAGTCCCCACAGTGTGGTAACTGTAACAGATAAATTAAAATTTAATTCATTCTTTAATTTGTAGATTTTTAACAACTTTTTTGGACAGAAGGTATACAGAGGTTACAAAAATAAGACCTATTTTTCATATCAACATAGGTCCGATTCTGCTTTGTTTAGTAGCTGTAGAATTAGCTTTGATTCACTAAAAGCAATTGGAAGAAAATTATAATAAATCGAAAATAAATGAAGGCTTTAACCCCTGTAGCTACGAAATAAAGCATAATCGGACCTATGTAGATATGAAAACCAAATCTTGTTTTTACGTGAGAAATCTTCCCATGAGAGATGGTACCTGTTTTTTGAAATACCTTGTATTCATATTCTTCTTGATATGAAAGTGTTATTTACATATCGCATTTATATTAAAATACCGCAATGCTTAACGCATTTAATGCTCATTGACGCCGAGCGCTCACATTGTTGTATAGAAATCTCCGACTGAATGGTACTTGGCATGGAACATGGTGGGAGACTCCATCTCGTCGTTGATTTCTCTTATAATTTACGTTTAATTATTTAGTTGAAACGACATAGAAACGATACGAAGCCATGAATGAAGCCAGAAAAATGTGTCGTTTCACTTTTATCTACTCCAAATCGGAATATAAACTTATAATTTTAAACTAAAATTTCAGATATTAATGTGGTTCATTAAATAATTGTGAGTTATTTAACACTTTCCAAAAACACAAATAGTTATAGTTCACTTCATCTCACAGTATCATCACATGACACATATCTCTTCGTTTAGTTCGAAACAGTGACCGGTTTTCAAGATATTTGCGTTTACAGGATGTATCTATTTTAGTATTAGTAATAAATTAATCTCCTGATTTCACTAATACACACTAATTACAATGCCAGAAACTTATGCTCCAAATTATGCTACAAACACATTTCATATGAGAAAAAATACTATTTGTATGTGTTCCATCTTTAAAAGTATAGTTTTATATGGATGTGAAACATGGCAGCTCACTAATAGAATGGAACAAAGACTATTAGCATTCGAGATGGACTTGGAAATGGATACCATCAGAAAGGAAAAAAAAGGGAAGGCCAAAAGCAACATGGATTGGAGAAGTGCATAAAGCTATGTCGGAGAGGAATCTTCATCCAGGGGATTGGGAAAATAGGAAAGGCTGGCAAATGGGTACGGAAAGGCGTATGACCCTATGAACCCGGATACAGGGTGGTCCGAACTGTATTCCTGAAACTTCGGCAGCATATTCTGCAGATAAAAATAAGTAAAAAAGTTCGTATAAATGTATGTCCTAAAATGCTTAGTTTTGGAGATACAGGATGTAGAAGTTTCGTTTTTATTTCGATTTTTTCCAAATAATTTCTGAAGTAACGTCAATATGTGGATGAAAATTGATATCTGGGAGTTTTTTGACATGAGCAATTTGATTTTGATGTCAATATGACTCCTACCTGTAGAGGGCGCCATCTACATATTTTTAACTGGTTTCAAGAGTAATAACTTCGTCCAAAGCTGTATAAAACTACTGAGTAAAAAATATACATTTACGACGTTTTTTACGTAAAAAAGGTCTCTTGGTAAAAATCGCTACGAGTAATGATTCTCGAAAAATTTGGAATCGAAATTATCAATGTCACCACTGACATAAATTAAACATGTTGACTAAATAGTTATTAGACTGAAATCATAAATTTGAAATGATTTTTTGTCAAAAGTTCAACAAAACTGTTTTTTCAAAAAAAATATGATTAATTTAATAAAAATAAAAATTTCCCAAATTTATCATTTCGAATATTGATGTTACTTCAGAAATTATTTGGAAAAAATCGACATAAAATGAAACTTCTACACCCTGTATCTTCAAAACTCAGCATTTTAGGACATACATTTACACGAACTTTTTTACTTATTTTTATCTGCAGAATATGCTGCCGAAGTTTCCGGAATACAGTTCGGACCACTCTGTATATTTCACTAATATATACTAAAATCGATGCATTGGAACCTTTATAAACGAAAATTTAATATGTTGAAAACCGTTTACCGTTTCGAACTAAATGAAGAGCACATTTTCGGAGTCAAACTTTCTTTACGCGCGATGGGAGTAAAATTGAATGCCGTGACACACAAGCCGACATGCCCATGACACACGAAACGCGAGAGGAAAAGTGGTAACGATCTTGGAGAGTCGTAACTCGGGTCCTATGTGAGCTAGGGGCTGAAACTAGGAATGTAGATCTTTTCACAACATTTTGACGACGTTTCGTGCACTACGAAACCCTATCATCAATGAATCAAATCAAAAAATCGTCAGATTTAAACGAAATTTGGTATGAAGATAGATTGGACCACGGCCAGCTTAACCGCGTACGACACATGTCACTGCCACAGTTAGTTTTGACGTAAGAAACGTCTGGGAGCGGTTAACTGGTGTGGACGGCTCTGCGAACGAGCGAATGATTGCTTGCTCGCGCTCGACGCTGTTCCACGCCGTGTCGGTACATCAAAGAAAATTCGCGCTATTGCACGTTCGGTTTGGACGGAATTTTGTTTACCACGTTTGCGATCGAATATCAAAAATGGAATGGTCGAATGAAGTTGTTTTAAAACTAATAGAGGTGTACAAAAATCGCCAAAACCTGTAAGGTTATAGCTATCCTTTTTCTTTTTCATTATTTTTATGTCAATTAAATCTAATAAGGTATTAAAATCTGTAAGTGACATCCGACAAAAGTTCTTAAATTTTCCAGAATCTTCTCTTTCAACATCGTTTAGTAAATTGTTAACACCATGACAAACTCGATTTTTAAAAAAAGTTGTGTTCCACCATCTCCTCTGCAGTCGTTTTCTCTTTTGACGTTTCAACAATTTATAAAATACAATGAAAGACGCACAAGCAATTTTTTCCGACATTATGAACATGAAGTGCCACACACCGATCAACACCGAACATACAAATAATCGCTAGGTCTGGACGGAAGCTGATCATGTGCTCGAGAGCAGCAGAAATCATGAGCGAATTTGAATAAATGTTTGCTCGCGCTCATTAGTGCTCGCTTATCTGGTCTGGACGCCCCTTTAGACCGTTGGAGAATTTCCATTCCCACTGTGACAGTTGACGTAAGAAACGTCAAAAGTTGATGTCGTCCGATCGCGACCAAATTTGGTGGATAAGCTATGTGAGCGACGCGACGGTGCACACGGTGCCACCGTGCAAAGTTGGATACTACCATAGTATAACGAAACTAATAGCTTTACTCCTTGTCAAATCCTTTGTTCTTTTTCTGCCACTTTATATGACCTTGTTCTCGCGTCCCGTGACCACTGACGTAACTGTATAGTCGTGATCTATAACTAGGCACAGTATAGGCGAGGCAATCGCCATAGTTTCACAGAGATGTATTTAGGAAAATATGAGTTCACAATAAAATAAAATTAAAAATATTGATCATCGAGTAAAAATTTGCTTGAAAATAGAATATTTTCACATTTCGTGTAAGTAGCAATTCTTCTGTATCTGAAAATCTTCTGATGGGAAGAAATTCGGAAAAAATATATAATGTCATATTTTTATATTATTATCTATTTCAAAAATTTTCTAAAACTTTTTTTAATTTAAAACAAGTTTAATTTAAACA